GGCCTGCCGACAGCCGGTCCTGCGCCCCGCGAGCCGGGCGCCGCCACAGGGCGCTCCGCGGCTTACCCGCGGCCTCATCTTCAGCCGCCCTCAGGTCTCTGAGTTTCAGACCCGGTCTGCTTTTGCCCAAGCTCATCGGAAAAACCTCTCCATAGCACACGTCAAAGAACAAAACCCTCGGGAAGAGATTTCATCAAATAGTGAACGAACGTCACAAGTTAAACTTGCTAGCTCAGGCCTGCGTGCACCTCATTGTAGCCCTCTTCTGTTCTTCGTTCTTAAGTGTAGTACAAAGAAAAACCGAAGGCCAGGAGCGTAACCTCCAGGGCAGGGCCGTTTCTCCCCACTGGCGAAGACGTCTGCAGGGAAACGGCTGCGGCGACCTCGGCAGGAGCACCAGGCGGGACCGCGCGGGCCGCCGAACCACCCCGGGAGGCGCCGCCACCTCGGCCACAAGCGCTCCCGCACGCCGCTTTCTCCCGCTGCTGCCCGGCGCCAGCGGGGCGGTCTCCCACCACTTCGGCCCGAGGCCACAGAAAACTACGCACACGTTTTTTGGTTTGTTTTGTTTTTTTAAAGAAAACAGTAACACAAAGGTTAAGACCCAGGGATCACAGGAAGCGCACTTCCCTCCAGGGGAGAGAGTGATGCGAGCCGCACCAGGAACACGCCCAACACCAGGAGGAAGCACCCCAGGGCACCGGGAATGTGATGCGAAACTCCGATTTGTGGCTTCAGGCTATAAATAATTTCCAACTTTTTATATTTCACAATTTAAATCTTTTATTAGAGTCCACAGTCTGCTAAATAAAAGCAGTAACAAGATATTTCACAAACTATTATACAATTTAAGACTCATGAATTTAATTTCATAAAAAATTAGGTGCGTATTCATTCTGACCTAAAACCGCTGTTTCACCTGGTCTGAAATACATTATGAGAGACTCCGTTCCAACATGAAAATAACCCTATCAGCTTTTTCTAAAAACATATTTTATAACAAAAAGTTTGTGCTCTTGATCAAAAAGATCCACAGACTAATTAGGCATGTAAAAAATAATTTTACAAAAAACCCAAGGTAACACTTTCAGACCCACTTTTATTCCTTCTGCTTCTCACACAGAGCTCCTCCACTCCCTGCAGCAACAGGCAACGTTGGCCGGGTCCTAGTAACCCTAAAACTTGGTTGGCATCAAAATATGAGTTAACCAGTGTTAAATCCATAAAATATTTACACTGCACAGCACATTTAGCTTTAGACACTTGGCAATGAAACCACATGAGGAGGAGGACAAGCCCCAGCACACGCTGGGAAGCGGCTTTCCCCGGCCCGGCGGGCACGGGGCACTGGTTCGAAGGGCAGCGGAGCAGCAGGCAGTTATCTCAGAGGACACGGACGCTGGTCTGGAAGCACGTTACGCGGTCACCCGGGCTGGGCAGCGCCACCTTGCCCCAGGCAGTCTCAGAATTCTAGAACGGCAGGTCCAGCGGGCACACAAGGAGGACAGACAACACAACATTTACCCCGCGGAGACCTCTGACTCAGCGCTATGCGCGTGCCGTGATTTTGAATGCGACTCTTCCCAAGAACTTGTCGCGGTCGTCCTCGTTTCTTAGGTTCTTTGATCCCTCAATTTTGCACTCTACTGTCACCTCTTTCTTGGTGCTGTTGGACGCGAAGGAGACCTGGACAGCAACCAGCGGCTGTAGATAGCCCACCTGACAGACAGACGGACACGCGTGAACTCGCGCTGTGCTGGAACCTCACCTACGCTTTAGCAGGAGTTTGTTTTTAAAAAATTTTGTGTTTTTCTGTAAGAATCTTCTGGTTTATGTCTTGTACTCAACTATTTTGAACAGGATGCACAGTGTATTAACTATTGATCTATTATGTTATGAGCGTTTTATTTTTTCACTTAAAGAATCATTAACTAGACCACCCAGGGCTTGTGCACTAAGCTACACCCCCCACCTCTTTTTATTTCTATTTTTTAAAAAAATCTGAGACAGCGCCTCACACGTTGTTCAGGTGGGACTCAAAACAGTGGCCCTTCCGCCTGCCTCAGCTTCCTACAGGGCTGGGATGAAGGCGCGCACCGCTGCGACCGGCTCCTCACCTCCTCCTGCCACCTGAGGGACGGGAGTAAGGCCGCACTTCCCTGCAAGCACTGTTTAAATGTATTCCACAAACTCTGATTACTGTCGAGATGTTCTGCGGTACACTCTTGGTGTGAATCTTCCTTTTCAGTCAGGCGCTATTTAACGAAGGTTTCTATCTTCCTACCATGTGAAAAGGTCTGAGTCGGGCTGCCCTACACTCCCGATCCCCCGGGTCAGCCTTGTGAATGTCAGGGTCACAGGCGTGTGCCTCCACGGCTGGCGGAGTCTTTCAGTAATTTCCACTGTACTGTGACCAAAAAGCATTGCTTACTAATGCATTTACACTTTTTTTCCTGTTTTGCAGTACAGGGAATTTCACTGGGGGCCTTTCCACTGAGCCTTTTATTTTTTACTTCATGACAGGGTCTTACCAAATCACCCAGGCTGGGCTCAAACTTGGTACCTGGCACCAGAGGCTGGGATTACAGGTATGCACCACCACCCCAAGCACGTTCCTACTCTCTGGAACCTAAGTGACCATTCTATGACAATTTTATGACATGTGCTGGAGGAGGACATGCATTCACTGTAGTCTTTATTATTAGGTTTCATAAAGACCACCTTCTTTGTTATTTTACTTAGGTCTATATTCTATACATACAATAAGGATACAGACCTGCATCTATATATATAAAACTTGATGTGAATATATGTGTAAGCTTCAGTGTGGCTTCTAAATATAATTCTTCAATAAGAGGAGCCAGGGGTGATAAACCTGGACAGAGTGGGCATAGCAGTCTACATCTGTAATCCCAGCACACAGGAGGCTGAGGCAAGAGGATCCCTGTGGACATGAGGCCAACTTGGGCTGCACTGTGAGTTCAAAGCTGGTCTGAACTACATGGCGAGACCCTCTCTCAAACAAATGAACAAACAAACAACAAATAGCACTCTGCAGTGCCATATTTTGTTGCACCGCTGTGGCTGCCTCCTGAAGACCTGAGCCAATTTACAACGTTCCCCTGCATGGGCATTTTAACTTTGGGAAAGAGCCAAAAGCTGCAATCTCAGTTCCAGGGAGCAAGGAGGATAAAGACAGCGTGGTAGTGCTCTACGAGCCTGCTTTTCCACTAGATGCTACGCAGCAGCAGCATTCACTCTATTTGTAATCACTCCTCATAAAGACACTCAAGAGGCTTCCAGAGCTGCTTCAGAAAGTGGCAGAAGAGCTAGGCATGGTGGTGCACGCCTGTAATCCCAGCACTGGGGAGGCTGAGGCAGGAGGATCACTGGGAGTTTGAAGCCAGCCTGGGCTACAAAGTGAGCTCAAGGCCAGCCTGAACTGCACAGCGAGACCCTGTCTCAAAGACAAAAAAAGCAGCAGCAGGAATGATAGGTTAAATCTGCTCAGACTGGGGTGGGGGGGTGTGCCAAGGGAGGATTAATGGCCATTTACCTTTTAATACAAGAAATTTTATTTATTTATTTATTCATTTATTTTTTTGGTTTTTCTCCGGTACCGGGAACCGAACTCACGACCTTGCGCTTGCCAGGCAGGTGCTTTTGCTGCTGAGCTAAATCCCCAGCCCCAAGAAATTTTATTTAAATATAGTTTTTGGATCAGCCTTTGTAGATTTCAACAAAGTTTGTAGATGAGTAGTTCTATGTCAGTGTTAATTTTCTTTTATAGCTATGTTATTACTCTTGCAGTTTAGTCCCATTTGGTTTGGGAAAAAATATATATACTAAAAAAAAAGGGGGAAAATGTTAAGACAAATGAGGTAAAATCTGAGAAATCTGGTAAAGGGCTTACATATAACTTTCTACTATCCTAGCAACTTCAAGTCTGGAATAATTTCAAAGTAAGTTAAAAGTAATCCAAATTTTACAATTTTTTTTTAATGATTCTTTTTAAAAATCATTCTTATATGTATTTTAAGAAAGAAATACAGAAGAAATTAATCACACTGTAATACTGTTTAGCCTTTTTCTTTAGTACTTTTCTGTTTCTTCTAAATATATAGATATTAGGTTTGTAATGAAAGAATTATACTTTGAAAATAATCACACCCTTTCATTCATCTACCTGGGTTCTATATAGTTTTTTGTTTTTTTGAGAGAGAGCTTCCTGGCCTGGAGCTGTGTAGCCCAGGTTGGTCTGAACTCAAGAGATCCTACTGCCTCAGCCTCCTGAACATGCCACCACACGTGGGTCTGTTTTGAACTCTGAATATGGCTCTTCACTTGCTCACATCATTCTTTTTAAAACCAAAGGCACAAATTATACAGGGATGTATCTCCCTACTGCAGACATGTGGTACCTGAATTTCTCAAAAGATTAACATGTAAGAACTTCTAAATACTTACATGCCGTTTTTTTCCATAGTATGGAAAATACTTTAAGTCTATGATTCCACGATTAGGATACATTGATACAATTGCTGTGTTTTCATCCTAAAATTGAAAGCAAAAGAAACCTTTTAGGTCACGTTATTAAGAACTGTGTTTACAACGAAAGCAGTAGCAATTATTAGCAGTATGCAGCAACTACAATGCTGTTCCCACCATACTGAATACTTCTGAGAACAGATGCGCTCGTACTGTATCACACGTTACACACCCTTTGCCGCCCATTACACTCCCAGTGTACACACACCGCTCCTGAGTCCCTGCTCATTTACAGCCAGTTCCACTATGTGACTGCCCAGCTGCCGCACATGTCAGTCTGCACTGACAGCACGTTTGGCATCCGTGTTTTTCTGAGATGAATAAAGAAATTATGCTTCCAGGCCGGAAAGCAACAGCTGCTACAAGCTGCCAATCTAGAGAGCCCACCAGGCTGGAGGGAGGGGCCCCAAAGTTAGTCACCATGACAGCTGTAGCCAGAGGTGAAACCAGGACGCATGTGCCAGGAGAAGCTGCTGTACACAGAACACCTGATGGAGCCCGGCGTTTTCTGCACACGAAGCACACGCCCCACACCGAGCTGTATCTGCTCTCTGTAATTCCTACTTCTGACAGCACACGACACAGCACAGCAAAAGGCAGCGCACCCGTTAAAAACAAGTCCTTTCTGCTCACTTCGTGGTCAGGCAGTGCCACCCGTGCAGGGCAGGGCGAGGAGTCACCCAGGCAGAGGGCACAGAGCTCGGCCGCGGCCTCCCCTCACCCTCCAAAAAGGCACGATCGAACCACCCAGACCAAACACATGCAGAGCAGCAAACAGGACCAGAGAAATCTACAAGTCATTCTGAATCACTATTCCAAGTCCAACGCCTCCTTCCGTTTGTGTCCGCAGTGTCTGGGGACCAGGGGGACAGCTCAGGCACAGCGTGTGTCTGAGGCCCGGATTCCATCCCCAGCACCGAAAAGACAGAGAGAGGAGAGGTTTTTATACTGCAGGAAAAAACCTCACATTGATGTTTTTCTGCATTAACTGCCTTTGTCAGTCCTATTTTACCTGAACATATGAGTTTTATTCACAGAAACAGATCTTCCCCAGAACGAGAATTTTTTTGAGTAACGGTTTATTGAGCACTTCCTGGACATCTCCTGCCAGAAACCAACTTTCGCTGACCTCATTTAGCCCTCACCACCCTGAAGCGAGCAGGTCCGCCAGAGGGGGAGCCGGCGCAGCGTGGGGGTGGCCGCGCAGGTCACCCGGGGCCGACTCCACTGCTCTCCCCCCATGCGCTTGGCGACGTTTTTCTTAAACTTGTTCTGTACTTAGGTGAAAAACACATTGACAAGTAATGAAATACTGGAAGGACTGACTAATGAGGTACTTTAGGGGGAGCACATGTGACATAACCCATACAAACGCCACCACACCGAAAACTACGGGCAACTCTATGAATCACAGCCACTAAGCTCCACTGAAAACAAAATGCAGTCTAAAAATTAACTGATTCCTTCATAAATCATCACATACAAAGGACTTGATGCATACATGATAAATGTTCTAAGCAGTGGTTATCACTGGGTAGTATCTACTGTTTTTTTTTCCTCTTCTGTATTTTTCTAAATTTTCTTAAGTGATCATGAAATACTGAGGAAAATGAATGACATAAACACTCCACCCTCTGCAGGGATATAAACCGGAAGGCCACCGCTAGTGGCACGTTGTCAGCGGTGTCTGTGTTTCCAGGACTCACCGCCCACCCCCGGAACACTCAGCCCACGTGCTTGCCACTTTCAGAAGCAGCTACGGGGTCCTCTTCCCAGTCTCTAGTTGTGCTATTGTGCCTGAGGCCTGACTCAAAAACATCTACCTTCTCAGTCATTCTGACTTTGCGCAAGAGCCAGAAGCCACAGTGGGAGACAGGAAGGCAGATGAGGGCGCGCTGGAATGATCTGGGGGCCCGCCCCGCTGACGGGAGGCACCTGGCAGCAGCGCTCACCCCATTTCTGGCCATACCTTCTAAGACACGAAAGAGGACTTCCAGAACTACAGGAAGCTGCAAGGACGATGGGTAAGTGTGTTCAAAGAAAGAGGGAGTATTTCGAAGGGGTTTAGGGGCAGTGTGCCTCTTACTATAATAACTTTGTTTTGTTTTGTTTTGTTTTTGTTTTCTGTCATTTTTTGGTACTGGGAACTGAACTCAGGGCGTCACGCTTGCCACGCAGGTGCTGCGCCGCTGAGCTACATCCCTGGCCCTACAATGAAGTGTTTAACTGAGGACTCGGTCCGCTGCTCTATCTTCTCCTTCCTGACTCTCCTGATTCTGGCTTTTGTGAATCCAGACTTCCCAAAGATGTGACTGAGCCTCGACCCGCCCTGCCTAAGGCTGGCCACACATAATACTCCCAGCCCAGAGGCGCCCCGCACGTCCTGGCTTTTTACCCTAATCAGTGACTACTCTTAACGTGGTGGCCCTCACCTGTACAACCAGCGATCTGGGAGGCTCCGGCGGGCAGGGTCACAAACTTGAGCCCAGTACAGGCAACTTAGCAAGGCCCTGCCTCAAATTAAAGATGGCGGTGGGGGAAATGATGACGATGCGGTTCAGTATAAAAGCCCTGATTTAATTCCCAGCACCAAAAGAGAAAAATAAAAATAAAAGGGACACCAATGCAGGAGCTCTTAAAGCGTGGGCCTTAGGAAGCAGCACCACCACCGCCACTTAGAAATTTAGCGTAAATGCGGATCCAGGCCCAGCCCAACCTCTTCAGTCAGAGCTACGGGAATCAGACCCAAGACCCAAGCAGTGCCGATGCACGACCATGTCTATAAACCGAGACACGGCGCTTTCTGCTCAAATGTGAAATGCACCTGTGTTGAATGAGGTTTCTTTCCCGCTAACTTTGAACTGATTTCAATGCAATCTGAATAAAACACCTCAGCTATACAGTTGTAGCATAAAGATAAAATTAAATTCAAAACAATCTCTCCTCAGGGCGCTTACCCATCTCTTATATATGTCTTAGTTGCGTGTGCACCATGGAGAGGAAACAAAGAAGTTACGAGATGAAAACTGCACAGCACTCTGGAGGAAAAGCAGGGGAGGGAGAAAACGCCTCCACCTTAAGGAACATGCGCCGTACCTCATTCATGCTCAGAGGATACCAACTAGCACAGCAACTTACGTACGATTAATAAAGAAAAGTCTCAATACAGTAGTAAGACACCTGCGAATTACCCCAACTTTAGAACTGCTAAGCCGGAAAACAAAAGTGAGCATATAATGTGTGAAATATGATATATGTGGACATAAGACAGTAAGCGCAAAATCAAACCGACATGGACAACGCCTTTGTAAACGACTGTTAGGCAAGTGAAGGGATATTTCCAAAACGCTGGTGACATTTACTCTACGGATGACCTCATGAAGTACAGTACCTGAAAGGTTCAGCAGGGAGGAAAAAAGGGTGACTAAGGTTAATAGCCTCTTCAAGCATTCTAAGCAGAACCAAAGCATTAACAGAAGTGAAATACTAACCTTTGAAATACAGTCTATCCGTGGCGATCCTTCAGGCTTTAAGCCAATGATCTAGGGTTAAGAAACACTGATTAATTTAGGCATCACAGCTGTGCGCGGCGGCACCCACCCTCTGTCGTGAGCAAGTGGCGGCAGAGGGACCGAGGTCAGCACTGCTCCGTGCATTGAACCCAGTTATATCTGTCTTTCACTTTCATCTTTTTAGAGCATTAAAGTGAGCTTTACAAGACAGTAACTTTATAATGAGCTACTTTATCACTGTACTGAAGCACCTGAGAAAATAACCAATAAACAGTTGCACACTTTGCTACCCTTAAAGCAACAGAAAACCTTAAATCTAATTATTTGTAGGACAATTTACTGTACATAGTAAGAACTACAGAAGCAGAATACAACAAGCTATTCTTTCTTGTTTGTTTTGTTCAGACAAGGTCCTGCTGTATAGTCCAGGTTGGCCTTGAATTCACTCCATAACCCAGGCTAACCTCCAACTTGCTGTGATCCTGCTGCCTCAGCCTCCCAAGTGATGGGATTACAGGTGTGCGCCACCATGACTGGCTGACAAGCTACTGTTTAGGGCAAGGTATTAGGTCACAATTCCCACCATAGGTTTCCATAAGGCTCCCTGAACTTTACCATGTCTCACAGCTATCTGTACCCCAGTACGCATACTGGGAATAACCCTATTCTAGTACTCAAGGCACCGTTTAATTCTATGTGGTAAGGCTACTTTCATGTATGCAGTTATTATCACTCTGTGACAGATACAATGGTACCTTGGTTCACAAACAACTCTCTGGCATGATTCTGGTCACAAACTGAACTGGACGAGAACCAAACCAAATTTCTCTGTAAGGTCAACATTGAACCTAACCACTAAATTTGGTTTGGTTTTCATCCAACTCAATTTGCGACCAGAATTGAGGAAAGAATCAAGTTTGTGAACCAAGGTGTATTCATCCATCCCCTTTGTGAGAGGATGTTCTGGCATTCTGAATCTATATGCAGTTTATTTGTGAAAGGCAAACCTCATTTTTAGCAGTGCCAACTCCAAGATATATGAATTCAACCTTGAGAGGTCTATACTTAAGAAATTTTCCAAAGTCAATAACCAGGAGTGGCTTCATTTAAGGGAGACCTTAAAAAGACGACCTATAACAGAACACAACTCAGCAGCACAACCTTTAAGCAGCAGCGAGGCACAGAGGGGACCGGTCCTGCCATTCCTGCCACGGGGCCCACACTCACTGGAGCTGTCCAGGAGAGAACATCAGCTTCCCGCTTTGCCAGCGGCGCCATACCTCAGACACTACTATAAAACGGCAAAACGACTACCCCGCCTACAACTGCAGCATCGCTTTAAGCTTATCGGAATGTGATTTCATCTGAATTGACAAAATTTAATACACTTGTAAGTAAGCAATCCCCCAATGAGGTAACATTTAATAAGGAAGGCATTAACTCAGCCGAAATGATCTAAAATAATCATCAACGCTGAGCACAAGGCCCTGGAGACAAGCAGCAGCAGAGATGTAATGTCACGCACCCTGTTCATCTTCACCAGAACACAAGGCTGTCCTTGGGAATAGCCGAAATGAGGGTCATCGGTCCCGCTGCACGCCTCAAGTAAGAAATTAGGAAACTGACATGCGGCATAATCTGGACCCTTCTGTACAAAAAGCACTCCATCAGTGCAATTGGTGAGATTCTTCTGTTCTTCTAACGAGTATGCTAGAAAGGAAACACAGTGCGATTATAAAAGTGAATACTTTAAGTTGTAAAAAAAATTACTACAGTGAAAGACATATTGCCATTCATCTCTGTCAGAATCCCACCACCCCAACTTCAAACACACAAACCCCATTGCTCTTTTTAAAAAATTTTTATTTCTTTTTTAACCCCACTGCTCTTGTCACCTTTGGAAATAGTTCCAGACTGTCTCTAGTTGCACTGTCGTGGCTGCCTCAGTGCCTAAAACGGATTCAAACTATTTGGGAAAGAGCCAAAAGTTGCACAGTGCCGATCCAATGAATAAGGTGGGTGTTATGGTTTGTGTCTAGATGTCCCCCAAAGCCTCATGCAGTCACGGGGCGGGCTTGTACAGTTTGTGACTGATTCACGGTCCAGTGCTGGGGTTATGGGTGTGAGTGCTGCACCCGCCTTAGGTGGCAGCCTGCATACACTGTAAGGGAGGGAGAGAGCCTGCTCCTCCCCTTTCACCCCTTCTGCTCTTGTTGCTCTTGCTGTCTTCCACCACCATGAACGGTCACCCGTGTGCCCCACCACCCTACCTTGGAGGCAGCGGAGTGACACCTCCACAAACTGTGCACTAAATAAACCTTTCTTCTCTTAACTTGTGGGTGTTGGGCATTTTGGCTCAGCAATGAGAGAAAAGTAAGACACGGGATCAACCTAAGAAAGGTATTAAGCACAACCAGGAATGTATCATCTGGACAACGTTCTTCGAAGACAAAACGAGCAATGCTAACTACTAGGTAATATTAAGGAAAGAATCTAGGTTTGCTCCTTTAACTTTTAAGATTCATCTACTGCTTTAAAGTTTACTACATTCCAACAGCCATACAAACTGGATTATACATCCATCTCTTTTGTCATTATTAGGTGGGTCCAGCTATGATTCTATGTGCATGGACCAAAAAGATACAAAGGTGAGGGCATAAAAGGAGAATTCTACTGGACTTTATATAGTAGGAAACACAGACATTTAAGTATAAAACTGTAACTACAAGGGTAGGCAGATGGACAGCAGGAGATTTCCAAGGTCAAATCCAGCCTGGGCAATTCAGTGACTTAGCAAGAACCTGTCTTAAAAATAAAGAAAGAGGGGGCTGGGGATATAGCTCAGTGACACAGCACCTGCCTGGAAAGCATGAGGTTGTGAGTTCGATTCCTAGTAC